AGTAAAGAAATAAAAGGAAGAAATAAAAAGAAGGAAGAAGAAAAGAAAGAAGAAAAAAGAAAGAAAAAAGATAAAAAAGGAAAAAGAATAAGAAGAAAAAGAATCACAAAGAATAAGGAGAAAGAAGAAGAAAGAAAAAAGAACAAAAAGAAAAAAGGAAAAATAAGAAATAAAAGAAAGAAGAAAAAGGAAGAAGAAGAAGAAGAAGAAGAAGAAGGAAGGAGAAGAAAAACGAAAGAAGAAAGAACAAGAAAGAAAGATGTAAAAAGAAGAAAAAGGAAAAAAGGAAAAGAAAAAACAAGTAAAAGAAAAATAAAGAAGAAAAATAAAGAAGAAGAAGTTTAAAAAGTTTCAGCAAATGATTAATGAAGATTAAGTATGGTAGTCAATAAGACACAAAATCCAAAGCAGATGCAATCAATACTTACGGGATTTAAAAGCATGATACTTCCATCGATGGCGTTACTTGCGTAATGAGTGATCCATATTATCCCATTGATGATGTACGAAGCGAAGAGGTTTTTATGAATTGTGACGCGATCACAACGCAGCTGTCTGCAATCAAATAGATTTGCTTTTATTATTTGAAAATATAGGTCAATATAAAATATATATACAAGAATGTGTAGCAGACGTTAAACCTTTTCGCGAGACACGCATCCGTGATGTCTCTATCAGCAGCAACCTTTTTTCAGCTGTTGGGCATCCGTAAAAAGAAAAAAAGCAACAACTTGGGAACATATATGTTATGAATTCCAAGATACTAGCTCTCTTTCACTTCGAACCGCGGTTGAGATAGGACGCTAAAATCAGCGCTTCATTAGTAGTTGCATATGACTTAGACCAGTGATTTTCAACCGTCGTGTTGCGACATGCTAGTGTGCCGCGCGATTCTCTTAAGTATATATTGTCACGGCACACACACACACACACACACACACACACACACACACACACACACACACACACACACACACACACACACACACACACACACACACATATATATATATATGTATGTATGTATGCATGTATGTATGTATTTTCGGTTGAGCTTTCTGGGGAGGAAGTGTGGGTTTATAAACAGTGACTATTACGGATAATAATGCAAGACTCTTCGGTAGATCGAATCGAGTTCTCTCAGTCACTATGTGTTTATTTAAAAATAAATACGCTTAAATTCACCTTTATCCCTGTCGTGCGCCAATGGCTTAGTGGTAGAATCCCCGACTGACGCCAATTCAGTTGGGTTTCAATCCTAGCACGAGGCAACAGGGTGTCTAGCCACACTGATGAGCTGCGAAACAGTCTGTCTGTTGATGGCTATATATATATATATATATATATATATATATTCGTGTGTGGAAGTAGTAAGGATACAGCGTTAGTACTTCAATAAATGAATAAGTATTAAACATTTTTTTCAAATAATTCTTTTCACTATTCTTTGATTATGTTATTTTAAATACTTTGTTTTAATATTCATTTAGAAGAAATGAGTGTCTGCTGATCGCATATTCGACCAAACATTGAGGAAATCGTGAACCCCCCAAAAACAAAAAACAACAAAAAACAAAAACGGGCACAGGTTTCACATTGAATAAGCTGCACAAATAGTTGAATAGAAACATTAAAATAAAGTAAATTCATATTTGTGTGTGTATTTTTTTTTTAATCTATGATTTTATTTCATATCATTTAAATGTATACTCTTTAAAAATGTTACTAAGTGTGCTGTGCTATTTTCATTTGCGCCTAGGTGTGCCGTTGCTTAAAATGGTTCAGAAACACTGCCATAACCTTAACCCTAACCCAGCCGTGATAGTTTTATTTGCGCCGAGGTGTGCCCTTGCTTAAAATGGTTGAGAAACACTGCCATAACCTTAACCCTAACTCATCCGTGATATTTTCATTTGCTCCGAGGTGTGCTGTTGCTTAAAATGGTTGAGAAACACTGCTTTAAACTTAACCCTAACCCAGCCGTGATAGTTTTATTTGTTCCTAGGTGTGCTGTTGCTTAAAAAGCTTGAGAATAATATGCCGATAGTTACAATTTGAATAAATAAATAAATAAGTATTAAACTTTTTTTCAAATAATTCTTTTCACGATTTTTGATACATTTTTGGATTTCAATACAAAACGAATACCCGACATTAGCTAAAAGGTTTTTATCACTTTTATTGCTTCTTATTTAAGTAAATTAGGTTTCTCAAACCAAAATAACATCAAAAATAAGAAACAAGAAAGACTACGCTCAACTGAAGAAGAAATGTGGGTCCGCCGATCACATATTCAAACAAACATTAAAGAAATTGTGAAAAGACACCAGGCACAGATTTCACACTAAATAAACTGCAGAAATAGTTGAATAGAAACATTGAAATAAAGTAAGTTCATATTTGTTCGTGTATTTAAAAAAAAAAAACTATGGTTTTATTTCATAACATTTAAATGTATACTCTTTAAAAATGTTGCTAAGGGTGCTGTGCTACTTTTATTTGCGCCTAGGTGTGCCGTTGCTTAAAAAGCTTGAGAAACACTGCCATAACCTTAACCCTAACCCAGCCGTGATATTTTCATATTAAGTGCTCAATATCAGAGATAGAGCGTATGTAAATATAAAAGTGAACATAGAAGTCAACACTTAGAGGCGACAGTCTGTTTCATGCTATATGCAATCGTCAGGCCTGATAATAAAAGAAAAGAAAGAAAAAAAAGAAAAGGCTATAATCTTCATTTGTACTCCCTTACTTCTTTAAATAATGTCCTACATTCATATATATATATAATTTTTATTACAATATCTTGTTAAAAGGATTAGGCTCAAATATTTAACGACGTGAGAGGGGGATTTCCACAATATAATTTATAGTCGTGAAACTTGCAAGGAGTTTATTCAATTACTAGACGTTTAAAACGTTTTCGACTGGGTCTTTCATTACTGGGAATTTTTGTCGTTCAATTGAAGCAGTTTAACTTTAAGATCAGCCCACCTGAAAATCAATATTAGTAACAACAATTTGGTGCAGCTGAGGTACCTCCCTAAATGGGGTAATTTGAATGGCGGGTGGTCTAAAAAGGGCCGTTTTTGTGTTCTCAATCTTGTTTCGGCCTCAAGCGCAGCAGCAGTTGAAGATGCATTTCTTCTCACCCATTGAGCCCTTTGATCATTATTTTCAGCCGCACGCATAGAAGTGTTCAAGTACGCTCTTCTGGAAAGACGATAGCTACGTTGATCTTCGGACTCTGATTAAATCATTCCGAGAGGCATTTTGAGACAGGCGAACTGAACATTCTAAAGACGATTCGTTATCTCTTATTCGCATGGCGGACCTGGCGGCAGCGGTTTTGCAACCAAGGCAAGTTCTTTTCTTTGGTGGCATGTCTTAGGCAAGTACGAATTGTCAAATGGAATATATGGGCACATACCAGAAGAGAACGCTGTAGTGCTACAGGAATCACTAAGCTCGAATAAATTTAAGAAAGGTTGGAAAAAATAATCTTGAATAATAAAAAAGCAAGCTTACTTATTACTACTAAAATTTAAATTCTGAACGGCTATAAACGATAATAAAATCAACGCCTTAAAACTGAGAAGCGGAATTGCGGAAGTAAGCGATAACAATGAGCTTAGGACTGTGTAAACAATCAATATGGCAAGGCGATATTTGATTGGACGTGTAAAGCGGCTTTGTGCAGCTAATGGGCAACTTGAACAGATGTCACGTTCCGCAGGTCATGAGCATACGCGCGCATCACCGCGTGACACATCGCGTGACAAAGCGCGTGTTGCAGGGCAACGCGTACACGCGTTGCTGCACGCGCTAATTATCAAGGTCAGTAGCAACCGATGGTCAACCTGTGGAGGTGTGAATCACGCCCACACAGCATGAGCTAGGATTGGAAGGTTATGTAAATTAAATTTTGCCTTTGATTTTTGTGTAAAAAAATCAGTTTTTTCGGTTTTTCACCTTCAAGCTTGTAATTTTTTTCCAGCCAATTTGAACTCAAACCTGGCACTGAAGAATTATGTATCAAACAAGAATTTCATCGAAATGAACAACATCCGATCACACACACGTAGCCCCCCCGACACATTTTGAGAATTAAAGATACAGATTATTGTAATATTTTAAACAATTTATTTTTATTAAAGTTGTTATGAAAGGTATATATCCAAGAACAGATAGTAAATAGTTTAAAAGTTGCTGAGAGTTATAATGGACAGGAAGTAGTGGAGAACCATTGTCGGCAACAATTGTGTCTCAAAACCGGCACTGAAGAAATATGTATCAAGCAAAAAAACAAAATTTCATCGAAATTGGATGAAAACTGTGGAAACTCATAAACAATATCCAATCACACACACACACACACACACACACACACACGCACGCACGCACGCACGCACGCACGCACGCACACAAACACACACAGAAACACGCACACACACAGAAACACGCACACACACACACACAAACACGCTCACACACAAACACGCGCACGCGCGCACACACACACATACGCACATACACACAAACACACACATGCAAACATTTTGAGAGTTATAGATATAGATTAATTTATAATTCACTGGAAGATTTAAACAGGAAAAGGTTAAATTTTTATGACTACAATTATTACATTCTTTTAATTGGCTAGACTAATTACTATCGCCTGTATAAAAAAAATTATTATGTTTTTTTTTTATAAAACCATAACCAAATACGAAATTTATTAAAATTGAAGCTTATTTGTTGTCTGCGTTAAATTTCGTGATGTTTTTTCACAAAAAGAAACATTGCTAATTTGATTGGCCGCTTGTGAGGAATTCGTGAGGCAGAAATGTCGGAGAAAACAAAGAATGTCTACGTAAAGAGTGTGTGCGAAGGCTTAGTATTAATTAAGAAAAGAAAATGACTTTAAAAAAATAAACCTCTCTATTGGATGAATTACGCGGTACAAATTTATTCTATCAATTGAGACAAAGAATTGTAGC